TTTGCTATGACGTGACTTCCTACCCAAGGCACTCCTGGCCACGAGCTCCAGACCCAGTAAGGCTCCAGTCTGCACCATTCCCCAGCTCTAGAAGCGTCTCATAATTCTTTTAGAAAAATGAAGGAGAGTCAAACTTATGGTGATGGTTAATACTATCAGCTATAGGTGATGATCCAGGAAAGGGGCAGTCTCTCTTCCAGGGAGACTGTAGTATTGTGTGTACCTCCCTAATTGAAGGGAGACTGACTCATTTGTAGTTTTGTGTACATAGGATGTTACTGAAGGTGAGGTGCTTTGATGGAGGTTAGAGCATCCTACAGCAGAAAAGACCCCTCTTTGCAATGAAACACCTCCTGGCCTCTGCTTGAGGGGCTGTGTGCACTGAGCTGTACATGACGGACCAGAACGCGACCTTTGAAACATTCGTCCCCAGCCTGTTCCGTGCATCCACGTCATAGACACCCGCATTTCCTGAACAGGGCATTGCCGGGCTCTGGGGCCTCTGGTACCTGCTGAGGGTGTTTTTCCCCCGGAGGATCGCACCTGTGCTGTTCAGAGGTGGTGTTGAGTTACAGGGAGGTGTCTGGCAGACAGGAGTATCACTCTGGTGTCATGTTAAGGATACAAAGCAATGGAAAATGATCCCGTGAACAGTCATGTATAATTCATGTATTTTTTTATTCCTACATCAAAGCTATAGTTTTCAATAATTTCTGAATAGAAATTTTTGTTTAATCTCTCATTTAATGGGCTGAAGATTGCGTTTTGCCTGTATGGTTTATATCTTTCCCAGTGAACGATGTGAACGTGATCTCAGGGGGAAATAATTAGCACATACGCAAAAGCAAGTTTCTTTAGCCCTTTAACGATCACTTTTTGAATGATAAACAAAAAATCCAAATCCAAGAGGGACAGAGGGAAATAGAGGTGGTATGAGAAATGTAGGGGTTTCAACTCTATAGCTGATGCTTTATTGTTAAAAGTAAACGTGATTGGAAAAAGCTGGGTGGTGCGTACTTTGGTGTTTGTCATTCTCCATATTTGTCCTTAAGTTTAAATGCCTAATAGTCAAATCATTTTAGAACATCTTTTGCATGGGATAAGAGAATTCAAGAAAGAATGATGGCCCTCATTGGTTCTGTTACAGACTTTCAACTTGGCAACATTTAAGAAAGGTTCATTAGTGTGTGCTGCTGTGTATGTGTCTTTTCTTCATAAAACATAGTATGATTCAGATTCTTCTGGCTTTTGCCCTCATTACTTAGTATTGGGCAACTTTTACTTTTTAAAGTCTGATTAAAAAAGAATTGAGCCAAAATATGCAAGATGAAAATGTTCAGAAATGCCGTTAACGAGTGGTTTGTATTCAGGGGTGGCTGGCAGTGATGCCACCTGCCACTCTGGTCCACAGTGTCTACTGCCCGCTGTACTGGGGGAGGGTCCAGGCTTTCATGTCAGGCCAGTGTGACAGAGCTCCCGCTAGCTTCGGTCACCAGGCCCACGGGGGACGTGCCCTTGGTCGTGGCCACCACACAAGGGAGGTGAGTGCCAACAACACTGTGGCCGGCTGAGGGATGGCCCCCAAAGGTCTGAGTCCCCACAACCTGGGGATATGTTACCCTGCACGGCAGAGGGGACTTCGCCAATGTGATCAAGTTAGGGTCTTGAGATGGGGAGAGAACAGTGGATTATCGGGCGGGCTGGGTGAAATCACAAGGGTCCTTATGAGAGGAAGGCAGGAGGGTCAGAGTCAGAGGAGATGGGACCAGGCAGGCAGAGGTCAGCATGACAGGGCCACGAGCCACGGGATGTGAGCAGCCTCCAGAAAGTAGAAAAGGCAAGGAACTGATTCTCCCCTAGAGCCTCCTGAAGTAACACAGTCCTGTCGGCACCTTGACATTAGCCCCAGATCAAGAAGAGAATGAAAATGATTTTGGACTTATGACCTCTGGAAGTGTAAGGTGATAAACCTGTGTTATTGTTAAGCCACTAAGTATTTGCTAATACCACAGCCAGAGGAAACCAGTGAAAGAGCTTGTGATTGGGAACGGATGCACACGGCCGTGGCAGGGGAGGAGGACCTCACTTTCATCAGGGATAATCGAGCCCCGGTCCGGGAGGATCCCACATGCCGCGGAGCGGCTGGGCCCGTGAGCCATGGCCGCTGAGCCTGCGCGTCCGGAGCCTGTGCTCCGCAACGGGAGAGGCCACAACAGTGAGAGGCCTGCATACCGCAAAAAAAAAAAAAAAAAGAAAGAAAGAGCGAGAGTTAGGTCCCTGACAGCTCTGGCTTTGAGTCAGACCGCCTGGGTTAAAATCCTGGCACCACCATCAATTAGTTGTGTGACCTTGAGTCGCTGGACCTCTGTCTGCCTTTGTTCTCTCATCCGTAAAATGGGAACCATGACAGAACTTGCCTCAGAGGCTCGTAAGGAGGTTTGCTGACATAACTCATACAGAGCGTTTGCACCGCCCCTGGCAGAGTGGAGGCTCTGCAGACGTGGACTCATTGGATAAGCCCTCAGCTCTTCGCAGGCTTTGCTGTGTGTTGGTGCTGCTGCATTTTACTGGCCCATTTAATAAGGTTCTCTTTGTTTGGGGAGCCACAGGAATTACGCATTCCTCACTCATATCCATCTGAAAGAAATACCTGCTCATTCTGTGGGCAGGGACGTTGAGGCCAAATGCAGGGTCCTTGGGTTGGGGGGGGGTCTTTGTTTTGTTTTCATAGGCGGCACAGAATAGATATACGAGTTTTCTATGGAAGGAACAGGTCGGTTCCTTGCAATGAGATATATTCGTGGTCACCTGTTTAGGTCTCAACTCAGAAGGCCCTTAGATTTTCATTCTTGTACTTATCCTTATGCTTAGAGTAGGAAGATTTTGGTAAAACATCAGACATCTCAGGGTAAGGGAGACTAAGTGCAGTGGTTGAAGGGGGTTGGGGGAAAGCTTGTAGGGTCATTGCAGCTCTAGAGCTCTGAGAAGGTGGGAAACTTCACAGATCACGACCAGCGATTAGCTCGTGGCGCAGTTATCGCTCAGTGGAAGGCGGGCAGCTCACTCAGATTCTGTCCTGTTTTATTCTGCAGCACCCTTGGATAATGATGCCTTTTTGGTAATTTCTAGTAACTGTGTCTCCTTGGATGGAGGCTGGTATGAGCTATCACCCAGCTCATACTAAATTTACCCCTGTGGGTGGCCTTTGAGTTGGCCAGGGGTACATTCCAGCCAAGAAGACAGCACAGAGCAGGGCCCCTTTGGGAAATGACAGACCATTGAGCATGTGCTGGGTGCTCCATGGAGAGAGGGCCGGGGGTCAGGGCACCTGGAATTGTCACTGAGGGGAGAGTGTGAAGGGCTTCGGGCACCCAACCTAGGAGTCTGGGCTGCATCCTGAGCCCTTCCTTCCCCAGACTGTGCAGAGGTGTGGTATTATAATAGATGTGGTACATATAGACAATGGAATATTACCCAGCCATCAAAAAGAATGAAATAATGCCATTTGCAGCAACGTGAATGGACCTAGAGATTATCATACTGAGTGAAGTCAGACAGAAAAGGACAACTATCGTACGATATCGCTTATATGCAGAATCTGAAAAAAAATGATACAAATGAATTTATTTACAAAACAGAAACAGACTCAGAGAAGGAACTTATGGCTAGCAGCGGGGAAAGGTGGGGGAAGGGATAGTTAGGGAGTTTGGGATTGGCATGTACATACTACTATATTTATTTATTTTTTTATAGATTTATTTATTCTTGGCTGCATTGGGTCTTCGTTGCTGCTTGCGGGCTTTTCTCTAGTTGCAGCGAGTGGGCTCTACTCTTCATTGTGGTGTGTGGGCTTCTCATTGTGGTGGCTTCTCCTGTTGTGGAGCATGGGCTCTAGGCGCACGGGCTTCAGTAGTTGTGGCACATGGCCTCAGTAGTTGCGGCTTGCGGGCTTTAGAGCACAGGCTCAGTAGTTGTGGTGCATGGGCTTAGCTGCTCCGCGGCATGTGGGATCTTCCTGGACCAGGGCTCGAACCCGTGTCCCCTGCATTGGCAGGCGGATTCTTAACCACTGCACCACCAGGGAAGCTCACACACTACTATATTTAAAATAGATAACCAACAAGGACCTACTGTATAGCACAGGGAACTCTGCTCAATATCCTGTAACAACCTCAATGGGAAGAGAATTTGAAAAAGAATAGAGACATGTATATGTATAACTGAACCACTTTGCTGTACACCTGAAACTAACACAACATTGTTAATCAACTATGTTCCAATATAAAATAAAAGTTAAAAAAAGATAGATGTCAAGGGAAAGGGACATGAAGACCTCTGTGGTCCCAGAGTTTTGGAAGTGCTGGGAAAACAAGCAAAACCGTTTCTTTCCACTAGGAATTTTCAGAGCCTGTGAATACGTTTTGAATTTCCCAGAAGTGGAAATCGTAGATAAGTAGAAATGAGACCCGGAACTAAGGCATCGGGGTAAAAAAGAGTGGGTGGGTCCAAGAGATCCAGGATGAGGGTTAGAAAACAATTGGTGACCAGTAAGATGGTGGGGGGGGCAGCAAGGAGATGCAGAGAGAATTCCAATGTGACCATAGTTTCAAGCTTAGGATTTTAAGCGATAGCTTAGCATTTGGGGCCCTAGAGGAATAGAGGAGATGGAACTGGCTTTATAGGAAGATAATGGGTTTTGAATTTATTATGGACTCGTTTATCTATATTTGTGATACTGGCAGTATAGCTGACGATGCCAAAGTCCACATCCCCAGGCTAGAAAGCTGTGTAGAGCCGGGCACTTGGAGCCATGGGTATCGATGAAGACCTCTAGAGACAGTAGGGTTTCCAAGGATGCAAATCACATTCACTTACCAAACTCAGTCAGTGGTGCTGTAGTCACGGGTGGAAGGGTGGAGTCACCAGTTCGCTAAGTGCTGACTCATGTTCTGATTAGGACCCTTGCCCTGTTTAAATTGAGGCTGCCTCTCTTCTTGTAGAATCATAGCTTGCGCAATGACCATGAATAAGTACGTGGAAGAAAACGTGTCTCAGAAATCCTACACGACCATCAAGTATTTCATGAAGATGCTGAGCAGCGTCAGCGAGACCCTGATCTTCATCTTCATGGGCGTGTCCACCGTGGGGAGGAACCATGAGTGGAACTGGGCCTTCGTCTGCTTCACCCTGGCCTTCTGCCTGATCTGGAGGGCGCTGGGTAATGAGCACGTGTCCCCTGCGTGAGCGCTGGGGGTCGCGCGTGGAGAGATGGGCCCTTCCTCCTGCCCCTCCCCTTTGTGGCCGCTGCTGCTACTTCTTTTCTTCGTCTTGAGCTCTTGTCTTTCTTATCTCCTTCCTCGACCCCCTCGCTCTCCACGGCCTCTCCCTTCTCCTGTTTCTCCTCCTCTCCCCTCATCCTGACATACTCTTTCCTCCCCAGAGTATTTTCATGCGTTTCCTTTAAGTGGAATTAACCTCTCTTGGCGTCTCTGATTCCAAGAGCCCAGTGATGCGAGGCAGGAGGAGGAATGCGGGCAGGATGGTAGGAGAGGGACCTGTTTGGAAATACTTTACCCTGAAACAGAAGCCTAGAAAATGTGCCTTCACGTTCCTGTGTCCTGGCCTCACACAGTCTGTTTCCTTTGGTTTTGTTTTTCTTCTCAGGTGTCTTTGTCCTGACCCAGGCCATTAACTGGTTCCGGACGATTCCTCTGACCTTCAAGGACCAGTTCATCATTGCCTACGGTGGGCTCCGCGGGGCCATCTGTTTCGCACTGGTGTTTCTCCTTCCTGCTGCCGTGTTTCCCCGGAAAAAGCTGTTCATCACGGCGGCAATAGTGGTCATATTCTTCACTGTCTTCATCCTGGTGAGTGGAGCTCGGTCTCCCGGCAAAGTCTCTCGTTTTATCAGGAGGAAACGAGGTCACTCAGGTGACCATCGTGAACTCCTTTTACATGATGCCAAGGTGCCTTGAGGCTTAGGTAGTTAGGACATGAGGGAAGATGGTGTTTCCTCACGTCACTGGGTTGTGCAGGGGCCTGAGGGAGTCCAATTTGGTCCCTTGGCTGACACAGAAGAATTGCTATTTAAGGAAACTCAGCTGTGTGAGCTGAGCTCCCTCCTGGAAATTTATGAGCTGCACTTGCTAATCCTCGGCATTTGTCTTCCTCTCTGACCTAGTAAGTGTGCTCATTAAATGCTGGTTGTGCGATGACCTCCCAGCAGCTCTTTGACATGGGTTCACTGCTGAGCTGTGCGTCCCTGGAAACGATGGGAGGGGTGACTACACGTTTAATATGGGGAGGTGGACAGCTGTGGTAGGAGGGTGTGGGTCTGGGTCAAGATCCTGACTTTGCAAGTTCATCAACTCCTTTAAGTTAATTATCCAGCCCTTAGGAGATTCTGTTCTGCGGACAGTCATCTAGAAATTACGTCTGGGGCTCCTCTGCGAGCCAGACAGTGCTCTCGGTGCTTAGGGTCCAAGAGTGAGCAAAACCCAGAAATATCCCCGACCCTGCAAAGCTTCCATTCCAGTGAAAGTAAACAGAGTAAGTGAGGGAGTTAGAGTCTGTTAGAGGGTGAGAGACCCGGACAGCAGGAAGCTGTAGGGCTCAGGCCTGGTGAGGGTGAATGGAATGGATTAGTCGTGGAAGGCAATGGTGAAAAACATACTTGAGTAAAGGTTTGCAGGGGGGAAAAGGATTAGCTGGGCTGAAGAACATTCCAGGCAAATGGGACTAAAGACAAAGGTCTGGAGGTGGTGTGCACGTAGCCCACGTGGCCGCTGGAGGGCAGTGTGGTTTAGGAGAGAGGAGGTGAGGGAGAGTCCGGAGTCCTAGGTCATGTGGGGCAGCGGGGGCAGTCGGGCCAGTGTCAGCACGTTGGCTCCTGTCCAGGTGAAACGGAAGCATCCAAGTTTGGGGAAGAAGCGTGACGTGTTTTACGTGGTAAAAGGAGCCCCTGGCCGCTGTGAGAAGAGGCTGTTAAGAGGAAAGGATATGAGTGGGAAAGGCAGTGTGGAACCCAGAGCACTGATCAGGCAAGATGGTAAGAAGGGGCAGAGGCTGGTGAATGATGGAGGCTGGGGGTGAGCCCGGGACCCCGACTCCAGAGGCAAGCTCAGAACTGCGGGGAGCTCTGCTGACCGCCCCCCGCCCCGCTGAGAGAGAAGACAGTATTACCCGGTTAAGGTTAGGGATAGTTCCAGTCGGAGGAACACATACTCGTTTGGTTCAGACATCCCGGGTTGGTTTGATTTTTCTCAGCGCAGGGAGACGGCGCCCCAGGGTTGGAGAGGAGAAGCAGACTCCCTGCTTTCGTCTTTTCACTGTGTGTTTGCAGGAACCTTGGAACAAGCGTCCAATTAGCTAGTCTCACACGTCTGAGGCAGCGTTGTGAAGGGAATCCATTTTTTTTAACTTTTCATTTTATATTGGAGTAGAGTTGATGAACAATGTTGTGTTGGTTTCGGGTGTGCAGCAAAGTGATTCAGTTCTACACATACAAATATTCTTTATTTTTTTCAACCCAGTTTTTTTTTAATTGTGGTAAAATACACATAACATAAAACTTACCACTGTAACAGTTTTAAAGCGTACAATTCATTGACATTAAATACATTTACAGTGTTGAGCAACCCTCATGACTGTCTAACTCCAGAACTTTTTCATAACCCCAAATGGAAATCCCATACCCGTTAGGCAGTCACGCTCCTCCCTTCCCTTCGCCCAGCCCCTGCCAACCACTAATGTGCTTTTGCTCATTTGCCTGTTTTTCTTCCTCTTTTTTTATTTTTTTGACATTTTAGAAACTTTATTAAGGAAACTTTTCAAACATACATTAAGTGTAAAGAGGTTAGTATAACAAATGCCCCGCCTTAACGACACAAGTTGTTTTCCAAACTCTGCTCAGTATTATGTAAAAACCCAACTGGGAAAGAATTTGAAAAAGAAAGTGAATCTATTTTGCCTTGAGCTGTTTAATGTCTCAGGAGCAGCCTGGGGCAGAGTGCTTGAGGGGGACAAGTCAGGCCTGGGAGTCACTCTCCGGCTCTTCCCAAGCTAGCTGCCCTGCCCTAACGCCCACAGAAAGCCCTGCCCAGCCTGAGTCAATGCTCTGGACTCTTTTCCAGGCTCTCAGAAATCAAGGTGTCACGTCTGAGCATCAAATACAAAAAGAGAACCATGGCAGTCTAGAGCACCTAAGAACCAGGTCGTTTGGAGATGAATCTATCGGCCGTTATGTCTACACAAGTATCCATGGTGTAAAACCAGCCCCGTACCCCCAACCCCATGGGTCTCTGCCTCGTAATGTGAGATAAAAAAAGACGGAATAGAGAGATGTGATTCCAGAGAGGACACGCAAAAGGCAAGCTCCAGTGGTTTAGTTATTAGATTCGACACATAACATTGCACTTCCACATTCAGAACAAACATCACATAGGAAAAAGAAGAATAGTACAATAAATGTATACTGTTGTTCATTGAATGTATGCGTACAAGTGGTCAATATAAGGTGTCATTTTTACGCTCTTCGTATTTTGGCTTTTTGGAATCGTACCTCAGGCATAAGGTCTAAGTGAAGTTTTGAGTCCCCACATTAAAGGACTACACACCCACTTTGGATGAGCGCTGTGTATATCAACAGTTGACATTGATTAAGAAAGTTTTTAATGTGACAGATTAACAACAGTAGTGGCAACAAACAAGATAGTTGTGTTGGCTCTGTTTGGTATTGTAAATGTAGCAAGTAAACCCTTCAGTGATGGAGACGTTTGGGGGGGTCCATATTCGGCATCTGCAAGCATGCCCCGTGGACAGTCTTCTGCTCTGATTAGGTTTAAGGATGACCCTGCGACACGCACTGTGACGCCCATAGGAAGAGGAATTGGGTGGTCCCACACCTCCTGTTCCCTTCCCTTCGCTGTGGTCTGCCCCATCACCTCTCTGTGTGCAAAGACTGGAGACTAACGGCTATCACTTGGGTCCTTGACCTGACCCCTTTCCCTCCCATTTCCTATCCCCCACTGGTCTTTAGGAGACGATGAACACACATGTGCACAAACACACAAATACACACACGCTGCCTTCAGAAAGGTTCTTTTTTCCAGAATACATCCATTATTAGGGGACTCAGGGAAAGGAACCTGGGAGGAGAGACTTAGTGGGTTCCAAACATAGTAGAAACAACTAATTATCATCCATGCATACAATTTTGCCTTCTGATGAATAGCGATGCATTCTTCTCCAAATGACAACTTTTATGTTGATGGACCTATCATTAAACATTAAAATGCCCTTCCCTCTTATTTTAGTATTTCTTGTAGGAAGTATTTTAATACTTCCATCCTGATACTCTAGAGTTAGCACCATCTTCTAAAGCAGAATTTCCTGTGACGCGTGGCTTATTATTTGATACTAAGATTTATAATGAGAATTTTAACGTTCCTTGAATCACGTTGATAATTAGAGAAAGTAGCCTCTTGATGAAGCCATTAACATCTTCCCGGAAAACAGTCTTGCGTGGAGAATAGTGAATGAGTAAACAATTCTGATTCCTTGGACGTGTACGTTCGTTTTCATATAAATAAGATTGGTAATGATATAGAAAATATAAGCTGTCTCTCTTGTTTTAAAATGATATTCAAGATTGAGGCAGGGTAGAATCCAGCAGTAGAAAGCACAGACATTGGAGTAGGCCGTTCTGGGTTAGTGTTCTGGCCCAGCTCTTCATAGGATCTGTGAGCCTCAGTTTGCTTTGCTCTAAGGCCTGAATCGTGGTACCTCCCTCCCAGGCAGTAGAGAGGAAATATGTATGTAAACACAATACCTGATGCAAGGTTTTAACCTGATGATTTGCTCTGTTTGCATTATAACATGAAGTAAAATGATAATAGGAGAAAGAAAAACTTAATTCCTTTCAATGTATTTCAGAGCCCAGTAATTATTATTCAGTTAGTCCCTATAATTATAGGGCAGATCGTCCCAATTCTGGAAATTCATTGAGTAGTTAAGGAGAAGTCCATCAAGGAGCACGGTTGACTGGAATTCCAAGGGCGGAGTCTCTTTTTGCCTCCATCATTGGATTAGTGTTGTAATCTGCTGTTTAGTCATTGTCCGAAACTGACGAGTCTGCATTTCACCCTACTTGCAAGATAGCAAGCTCCTCCTTGAATACTTTTATGGTTCTCATCCCATTTACCCCATTCTAAAATAAACACTGTGTGTACAACCAGATTTACGATCTCTGCGGTCAAGTTTGGAATGTGAAAAAGCCTAATATAGGATAGCATAGCCATGACAGTAATATTTTTTAATGAATGAAAACAGTTTCTTCAAGTCTTTCTGGAAATTGCCTGCCTGTTAAATCAGCAAAGAAATATAAAGCCGTCCCCCACCCCCTGCCCTCACCCCCGCTTTGTTTTTTTGCAAAATTTAATTGCGAAAAAACAAAAACGAAAGAAATCATTTTCTTCCGAAAGAACAGACCCAAAGATGCTCCTTCTTCAATCAGGCAGCAGTGCCTTTTACTCTCTCACTTTACTGGGAGCAGAAGGGTGAGGGTGGGCAGAAAGCAGAGATGGCGGAGGGAACAAATAAAGCTTACCTCGCCGTCATTCTCCCCGGCTGCTGTGTGGCAGCTCCCCTCTGCCAGGCCTGACTCTGGGGTGTTGTGTTTATTGCACTGAAGCCACATGAATGGGTGAAAATTTAACTTGTGCTTTGCAAATACGTTTTTCATTGGTTTGATGGAGAACGAAGGGGTTTCTTTATTTTTTCACCCACATGGATGGTAACAAGCTGTTTTTCTAAGCCTTGTCAGGCTGCTCCCCAGGTGACCAAAATGAGGAATTCTGCAATCTGGTAAAATAAGGTGCATTTTCAAAGGTATCCCTTTTTTTTTTTTTTTTTTTTTTTTTACTGTGTCCCCCAACCAGAGACCCAGGCTCTTAGAATATAACATCCAGCTTGGGGAACTTAATATGACATTCGGATGCCATGTCCCCTCCCTCCAAAATAGATGGATTGAGGAAGGAACGAACAAAGAGAGGGAGAGAAAGTGAGGCAGAACCTATCAAATAATTCCATTGGAGCACAGCATGACAACTGCCAATAATTCTAAGAGAGAGTGGGGACTATTAAAAAGACACTGTTTAAACAAATACTTCTTTTTGGGGTTTAATTAATTTTTTATCAGAGTATGGTGGCTTTACAGTGTTGTGTTAGTTTCTGCTGTACGATGAAGTGAATCAGCTATATGTATACATATACCCCTCCCTCTTGGACCTCCCTCCCCCCATCCCACCCACCTAGGTCATCACAGAGCACCGAGCTGAGCTCCCTGTGCCGTACAGCAGGTTCCCACTAGCTAGTTATTGTACACATGATAGTGTATATATGTCAATCCTAATCTCCCAATTCATCCCGCCCCTCCTTCCCTCCCGCCCCACCGTGTCTACACGTCCATTCTCTATGTCTGTGTCTCTGTTCCTGCCCAGCAAATAGGTTCATCTGTACAAATATGTATTTTTAAATGAGACGTGTCATTGCATCTCATCCATACTTTTATTAATTATAAACTTAATTATGTTGTAGTTTTAGAAACTTGACTTGACCTGGGCGCTGAGCCACACTTGCTTCCTGTAGTAGATCAGTTTTGTTTTATTTATTCTAGGTTATCCGTCTAGTGGAAGAAATCAGCTTAGTGACTGGGGCAGGCCCCGTGTCCAATCTTTACCTTTATGTCCTATATTTACAAATATAAGGCACTCGCTTATTATTAACTGAATGAATACCTGGTAGAGAAAAGCATGTGAAACAACACTTAGTATCCTCAGAACACATTGTGTCATTTTATAAATAGCACTGACTTTGTTGGGGTTTTTTTTCCTGGAGCTATTATTAACCTAGAGGCTTCATGGAATCTGAAAGTGAAATCACCCATCCCTGTAAACCACATGTTGACACCTATTTTCATTTACATAAGTTAAAAATGACAGAATATGTGTTGATTGGAAAATGGTTATTACCTCCTATGTTATTTCAAAGTGGCAGACTGAACTACAAGTAGAACACAAGGTGAGTCACGCCAAACTTGCTCAAAATCATTCATGTTTTAGAAAGTGAAAGTGAAGCTGAAAAACGCCCAAAGCTGGACTGATGGAACAAAATTAATGACCTCCTTTACAAAATGTGTGTGTGTCACAGTTTACGTTACCAGAAACATTCTTAAAGACTTAAAGACATGCAGAGAGGTGAGCGAGGAACCAGTCGTGTCAGGGAGCATCTCTCAACATATCCACCCCTCCCCGAAAATCCAGTAATGCCTCCTGGTCATGAATTCTTCATGCCGAGTGGAGGCAGCCATCGGCCAGCCAGGCAAGAGACTCGGGGATCTTCCTGGACCCCGCATTGGCCTATTTTAGTGCCCGTATCACATAATTTTAAACATAATAGCGATAGTTTGTTTTGGGATCTGTTAGTGCCCCATCATTCTCCTTTCTCTAAATTTTTCTGGTTCCATTTACTCTTCCAGATTAATTTTGAACATTTTCTCAACTTCTAAATATTCACGTTTCTTAAAAATCCTTTGGAAGATGTTATCGAAATTGTATTGCACATATATTGAGGTAAAATTACCATCATAATACTGTTAACTAATCCCACCAAGGAACTTTGTGTGGTTTTTCAAACTCAAATCTTTTTAATATCCTTTAATTACATTTTACAGTTCTCTTTGTAAAGGCTTTCTGTGCATTTCATGATAGGATTATATACTGTATTATGTACTTCTGTAGAGAGTATGAAAGTATGTGTGTGTGTGTGTGTGTATATATATATATATATATATATATATATATAGTATCCATATAGTATAATATATAATATAGTAGTATAAAGTAGTATTAAGTATATTCTCTCCCGTTCTATCTCTCACTATACATGTGTGTTTCCTTGCTATTTTGTAGGTGTTTATTCTGGTTTTTTTTTTTAAATTAGTATATGGGATGGATTTGTGTATGTTCTTTTTATGTTTAGTCACTTTACTAAACTTTCTTGTTACTTTTAAATGAAAAAAGATTGTTGTCGATTTTTTAGGACAAAAACTAGGTCATTCTTGAGCAACAAAACCCTTGTCACTCTATTTTCAGTATCTATGCTTTCCCCTCTGTCTCTTCCTATTTCATTGACCAGGACAAGCATTGTGGAACAGCAGGTCGGGAGTATCCTTGTGTTTTTCCTACTTCTAACGGAAATGCTTTTAATGTTTCATTATTAAGTCAGATGTTCACTAGAGATTTCTGGCAGATATTTTTTATTATATTAAGGATTTTTTTCTCTTCCTGGCTTACTAAATAGCTTATGTTTCTCTCCATTTCCCAAGTGCCCTGTGAACATGCCCAAACCCACACTGGTCCTTTCTCACGGCTGGTCCTATGCTCCTGTTAGGTCTCTGCTAGGTTCTGCTTCCAACAACTTGTAAGACTCTGATCCAGGGTTCCCTTTCTGCAGAGCCTTCCTTGACCCATTCCCTGTGTATCTCTCTCATTCCTCCTGTGCCTACTTTGTAACTGGTTTTGTGCATATCCTTCTCCTCATAAGACTATGAAGTCCTTAAGCTGAGGTCCTTAACTGTCCATCCCTGTGTCCCAAATGCCCGAGCCGCCGACATGTACGCCCTGAACGCTCAATTAAAATTGTTTAATAGATTAGTGAATGAATCATTGAGATGTTTTCTATGAATAATACAAGTAGGTGATTCCTCTGAACTGGATAATACTTTATTATTTTTTAGAATTACTCTCTTTTTCTATTTCTTAGAATTACATACAATTACGTTTTCAATTCCTTGCATTCTGTCCACTGTTTTGCTTCTAGTAGCAGGTTTGGGGACATGGCCCTCTGAAAATATGCCAGCTGTTAGAGAGGAAGAAGAAAAGTAACAAAATGTTACATATGCTGTGTTAAGTCTTGGGGGCAGGGTATCTTTTGTCAGTTATCAAAGTTTAGGAGAATAGAAGTTATTCTTGAATTTGACAAGAAGTTTCCCTTCTCCTCCTTGTTTTTCTGTGCAGGGAATAACTATCCGACCGCTGGTGGAGTTCCTTGATGTTAAGAGGTCCAATAAGAAACAGCAAGCTGTCAGTGAGGAAATCCATTGTCGGGTAGGTGTTAATGTAACCATAGTGTAACAATTTAAATGGTCAAAGGGAAAATTATTGGATTAAGTCAGACTGCTTGACACCATGTTGCTCATTTCCTGAAGGGGTAACTGGCAGAGGGTGAGGGGGGTGGGGTAGGGTAGAGGGTGGATGGAGAAGGGCGTGAATTGGGGGTAGAATGAACACAGCCCCAAGGAGGCTATACTCCTTCAGGAATACAGGAGTATCACTTCCTTCAACCTGAAATGTTTCTACTGGAAAATTATTACCATATTTCATATTTTCCAAAATTATGAACAGGCTGTTTTATTTGTTTTTAACTTTTTATTTTATATTGTAGTATGTGCGATTAACGTTGTGATAGTTTCAGGTGCACAGCAAAGCGACTCAGCCATACATATACATGATAAGAAAAATAATCTATGAATTGCCTAAGATTGATATGACAAACATCTCATCAACTTGTTCGAAGATGAATTGTTGTTTTATTGTTTATTCAAATAAACAAAAAGCAAAAACTGTCAGGGTCTTTGAAGTTTAAGCTTGATATTAAGAGAAATTTCTATAATTAGACTTTCTATAGATAAAATATTTACAACTATAAGTAGAAATAAGAATTAGAATTTCTGTAAATAGAAATTCCTAATTTTTATGAATAGAAATGGAAATGACTGATTTGAGGTAAAATTAATCAGCCTGCTTTTTCTGTTTTAGTTTTTTGATCACGTGAAGACCGGGATTGAAGATGTTTGTGGACACTGGGGTCACAACTTTTGGAGAGACAAGTAAGAAGGCCTTTTGCCATTATTTTATTACGTGGCTCTGAATCAGTCTGGAAGCAGGACAATTTTTTTTTTTTTTGAACAGGAAAATCAATTCAACAAATATTTATTAAACACTTACTCAGTGCAAGCCATGGTCTGTATATTAAAAAGAAAAATGGTATGGCCTTGAGGTGGTGGAAAAACTAAAAACATGGTTCAACCAATTTGTAAGTGCCTGGGACAGTACAGGGAGCAAGTAAGGCTCCACAGGAAGCAGGGCATATTGACTTGTGTTATTTTTCAGAGTTTCAAATCTTTCCTGTTGTGCCATAGTATGTCCTTTAAGGTAAAGTTTAGCTGTAATAGAGACCTGGAACAATAGTAGCTTTAACAAGATAGAAGCTTATTTCTCTCTTATGTAAATATCAGGTAGGCAATGTACCTTTTTTTTTTTTGCGGTACGCGGGCCTCTCACTGTCGTGGCCTCTCCCGTTGCGGAGCACAGGCTCCGGACGCGCAGGCTCACGGGCCATGAGCGGCCATGGCTCACGGGCCCAGCCGCTCCGCGGCATACGGGATCTTCCCGGACCGGGGCACGAACCCGCGTCCCCTGCATCGGCAGGCGGACTCTCCGCCACTGCGCCACCAGGGAAGCCCAGCAGTGTACCTTTAATAGATGAGCTACACTCCACAGATTACTCAGGGTTCCAGAACCCTTCCATCTAGTTGATTCCACCAAGAACCTCCATTTTCAAGGTTGCCTCTTAAACCAAAATGGCTGCTGCAGCATTAGCCATTGTGTACACATTCCAGGAATAAAGTCAATGAAGAGACAAAGAATATGTACTAGCTTCCTCCTAACCAAAGTTATCAGAAATTCCACACAATTCTTCCAGTTGAATCACATGGCCTGGCCTTGTATGACCCGGACTAATTATATGGGCGGCTGAGGAATGCAGTCTGTTTGGTTAAAAACTGGGGGCTCCATTACTATTTGTTCTCCCATATATGTTGAGGGGCTTTGTCAAATGCAGAACTCCAGAGCACCTGAGGAGATACATAGACTTGCCAAAATAACAAATATTTTTAAAGCTACACTTCTCTGGAAGATTATGTGCAGTTACATAGATGTGTTTCTCTCTCTCTTTCTCTATTTACATATGTGTATATATGTATGATAATTAAGATTCAGTGCCTCTCTTCAAGGATCTCATAGTTGAAATACAAGAGGTAGACAGGCCAGGCAGAATTAGGTGCACACTTTAATATATTCTGAAATACAGCTTATGGGATCAAGAAGTAAGGATGGATTCAGACAGCAGGGTTAGGGCCAGTGGGGTGCCGGAGGAGCCAGCTCGCATGGGCTGGTGGGAGCTGACTGTATGTATCTCCTCCCTGATCTAAGTTCAGTGCCATCTGCATTGGTGGCTTGAATCAGCCATGGTGAGAGTGTGCCAGGTGACTGACAAATGCTACAGATCAGGGCCTCTTTTTTTCTCAGAAAGTAATTTGTTAACATTCACCGGCACATCACTGGCTGGGAAAGCCTTCTGAAGGCGTGCATTTCAGCTGGTGCCTGAAGAGAGATGGACAGGCTCCAAAGGGTACCTGGTGGTCCTTATCACCCTCTTGTTTTTTCTTTTCTAACTTGCTAACAGATCTTCCCCACTGCTGAAGTTGACCAACCTACCAATTCATGTAATTGAACATAAGTGCATTTTTGAGGGCTTACTGTTTGCTCACATGTTCTGACATGATACTGGAGTACATGAAAAGTGCAAGCCATAGACTTGAGCCTTTAAAATTTTGCAATATAATAAAGGCAACAAAACAGTCACACAGGAAACAGGTGTGTGTGTGTGTGTGTGTGTGTGTGTGTGTGTGTGTGTGTGTGTGTGTGTGTGTGATATTGGTAAGTAATGAGTTGCAGAGACTATAAGTGATGGCACAACCTTTACAAGCCTGACCACGTTGTTTACTAATGTAGAAAGGCCCCTTGGATCTAGCCTGACTTCATAACTGAAGGAAAAATATTTTGTATGTATGGACAGAGTACCCAGTTAGCCAGACGGGGGCACATAGTAATAAAATAAAGCAAACTAAATTCTCCATTGTAAAAGTATGAAACAAAAGGCCGTTTATCTTGGGCAGTATTCACTTTCTGGGAGGCAGGAGGTAGAGCAGAGAACCCTAGCTCTCTGCCTCATAACTTTCAATGTTACCCTGTTTTACGTCCCTGGGACCTTCCTTGTCTCCGCCAAGCCTGTGATACAGGCTTTTCTGCCTCTTGTTCTCCGTTGTTTTCACAGACAAGCGTTTATCCATCTTCCGTCTCCCTTTCAACCCAACTGCTTTTCTTTCTCTCGCATCCTGTCAGTCCTTTCCTGAAGTGGTAAGTGAGCATGGTAACCCAGAACAGTTTGTTCTTTTCCTGAGGGAAGATTGGACTAAGGATTTATCCCACTCCTTCTACCTCTACAGGGGGAAACTGAGACGTGGTGTAAGAATCAGGTCCCCAGGCCCTGGGGCAGTGGTAGGTGATGGAAGAGGTGAATGCTGTGATCGTGTGGTTTGGTCTGGGACTCAGGTGAAGGACTGAATGTCAGAGAAAGTCCGGCTCCATCCTGTGTTCCCGGCAGAGACACTTTATATGTAAGTCTGTTCCAGGCAGACACCTACAGGCACCGGGCTAATTGGACTATGAATACTGGGTTGGCCAAAAAGTTTGTGTTTTTCCATATGGGAATACCCGAACGAACCTTTTGGCCAACCCAATACTAAATGTCTGAAAGGTAATATTGTTACATGCCTAACATTTTTCTCTGCAGTGTATGTACTTTATTCAATAATTTTATAGACCCTTCCATATTTCCATGCATGAAGTTTTCGAGGTAAATTTCAAATAATTTCCTGGATTGTCAATCACACTGTATGTGGCAAGTAGAGAAGAGAAGTTACTATGGAGGGATTTGGTTCTGGTACAGGCCATTTTTAAAATCAGTTCTCCAATCTCATTTCTGGTCTGTACGTAACTGTTGATGTTACTAAAAATGGCATAAAAAACAAGTGATTGGTTTAGGTGTGTTGGGTATCTTTCCCTTTCCTCTGAAATCCTTTTATTGTGGATTTTTTAAAAAAAATAAATTCATTTTATTTATTTATTTGGCTGCATTGGGTCCTGGTTTCTGTGCGAGGGCTTTCTCTGGTTGCGGCGAGCAGGGGCCACTCTTCATCATGGTGCACAGGCCTCTCACTGTCGCGGCCTCTCCTGTTGCGGAGCACAGGCTCCAGATGCGCAGGCTCAGTAGTTGTGGCTCATGGGCCCAGTTGCTCCGCGGCATGTGGGATCTTCCCAGACCAGGGCTCGAACCCGTGTCCCCTGCATTGGCAGGCCAACTCTCAACCACTGCTCCATCAGGGAAGCCCTATTGTGGATTTTTAATGGTCCTGCCAGAGAATTCTTGAGTCATTTGATCCTTTGAGAATGAAATGAAAGGGTCATGCAGTAGGGAAGTTTCTCACATTTGGCAAAAGTTGTCTAATGATAATGAAATAAGTCACCTATGTGTAGCTTGGCACACATGAAAGGTATGGAAATGAAGCAAAGAAAGAAAGTGTACTGGGCTTCCCTGGTGGCACACTGGTTAAGAATCTGCCTGCCAAGGCAGGGGACATGGATTCAAGCCCTGGTCCGGGAAGATCCCACATGCCGTGGAGCAACTAAGCCCATGTGCCACAACTACCGAGCCCGCGCTCTAGAGCCCGCGAGCCACGACTACTGAAGCCTGTGCGCCTAGAGCCCAGACTCCGCAACAAAAGAAGCCACCACAATGAGAAGCCCGCGCACCACAGTGAAGAGTAGACCCCGCTCGCCGCAACTAGAGAAAAGCCCGTGCACAGCAACAAAGACCCAAGGCAGCCAAGGATAAATAAATTAAATAAATAAATTTTTTAAAAAAAGTGCACAATTCCTACACTACATAGATCAGATGTCATTGTCTTTAATGTTTATTCTTCCTTTTGTGGATCTCTAGTGAAAAGCTAAAACAATAATACTAATGATAATAATAATAATAAAAGTTTAAAAAGATGTTGTGTTGTTGCCAGGTGTCCTGGTTCAATGAGCTTCACATGAAATTCAAAATAAACTTAGAAAAAAGTAGACCCAGTGTTTCGTGCAGTGGCCAGTCAGTAGCAAAGCCCTTTCAGGATGAATCTGTAATTATTCTTAGCCCTCCGGTATTTGGAACAAAGGGCTAGCACCAAGGATGTGGGTTAACATTGCTTCCTTTCATAGCACAGGAGTGCCTGTAAACCTCTTTGGGCTTATGGGGATCACTCTGATACATTAATTTCTTTCTCAGCAAATACTTAACTGCATGCTGATTCACTTGAATATTGGCATAACAGTTATGTAACAGTTATGTAGCCAATACTCAGCTGCTCAAAGGAACAGTCGCTTGTTATTAAAGTACTTGAGTCAGGAGGCTGAGAGCCAGTTGATCTGGGCTGGGCTTGGCTGATCTGGCCTGGTCTTGCTCCTGCTTCAGAGGGTTGGCCAGTCATCAGCTGATCCCGGCTGGCCTTTTCTGGTATAGGTGGGGCGACTTAACTCTGCTTCATGCGACATCCACCTTTGTCCTGCGGCTAAGGAGTCACTCTACGTACACATCCTTCTCATGGCGATGTGGCAGCACAAGAAGTGAGCTTCAATGAACAAGCCCATTAATAGCCTCTGGTCTCATCATCGTGTCTGCTAATAGCCCATTGACCAAAGCAGGTGACATTATTCAGCTCAGTGGCAGGAAGCTGGACAGAGCAGGGCACCTCGGCCACGGTGGGAGGACATTGCCAAGTAACTTGATATGTTACAGGGTGTGGATCCAGGGAGGAATTGGGACCAGATGATCCAGTCTGCCTACGTGCTTACGGTGCACCTGGCACTGTTCTAGGCACTGGTGAGACAGGAAAACAAACAAACAAAACAAAAAACTGCCCATATGGATCACTCTAGTGCTAGGAGACAGAAAATAAAATAAATGAGTACATTATATAGCCTGTTAGAAAGTGATGAGTGCTATGGAGAAAAATATGTCTGGGAAGTAGAATAGGGAGTTCTGGGAATGCAATTCTAATGGGATGGATAGGAAAGGCTGTTTTGAGAAAACGACTTTCAAGGAAAGACTTAAAGAAGGTCTGTGAACGAGCCCTGCAAGTGTGCGGGGAAGAGTGTTCTTAGTAGAAGGAATAGTAAGTATAGGGGCCTGGAGGCGGTAGCAGAGCTGGCACATTTCCAGGACAGGAAGGACCTCAGAGAGGCTGGACCTGAGTTAGAGCAGCACAGCACTGAGAGGGGCAGGTCCAAATGGTGCAGGGCCTCCAGGTCATTGTACTTTTACTCAAGTCAGGAGTTGCGTGGTTTGACTTACATTTTAACAGGATCACTCTGGCTTGTGTCAAGAATAGACCATAGGAACACAGTGGTGGAAGCACGGAGACCAACTGGGTCCCTGTTGCAGGAACGCATTGAGAGATGATAATGCTGGGACCAGGGTGATGGCAGGAGAAATGGTGAGAAGTGGTTCGATTGTTGTGTGTATTTTAATGGTGGAACCAACAGAAATTGTTGATAGAATGGATGTGGGGTATTACTTTGCTAGAGCTGCTTATAACAAAGTACCCCACGGTGGTGGTTTAAGTAGAAATCTATGTTCTCACAGTTCTGTGGACTAGACGTCCAAGAGCAAAGTGTCAGTAGATTTGGTTCCTTCTAAGGCTGTGAGGGAAGGCCCTGCTCCAGGTCTCCTTCCTCGACGTGCAGTGTCTTTCTTTTTACTGCTTCTTCACATGGTCTTACCCCTGTACATGTCTGTGTTCGAATTTCCTCTTATAATACACACACCAGTCACATTAGATTCGGGCCCACTAATGGCCTCATTTTAACTTAATCGAAATACAGTCACATTCTGAGGTCCTGGGAACTAGGACTGTAACATAGGAATTTTCAAGGGGACACAGTTCAGGCCATAACATGGAATAGGGGAGAAGCAGGAGAATCAAAGGTGACATCAGGGTTTTTTACCTGGTGGAGTTGTCACTAGCTGAGATGGGGAGGACTTGGGAGAAGATCCTTCTGAGCACGCCAGGTTTGAGACGCCTATGAGATGTCCAAGTGGAGATGCTGAGCAGGGAGCTGGACACTCATTTCTGGGGTTTGGGAGAGGGGCTGGAGTTGCAGACACAAATTTGGGAATTTTGGGTATAGAGATGCTATTAAAATCCACGAGGGGGCTTCCCTGATGGCGCAGTGGTTGACAGTCCGCCTGCCAATGCAGGGGATGCGGGTTCGTGCCCCAGTCCGGGAAGATCCCACATGCCGCGGAGCGGCTGGGCCCGTGAGCCATGGCCGCTGAGCCTGTGCGTCCGGAGCCTGTGCTCCACAATGGGAGAGGCCATGACAGTGAGAGGCCCACGTACCACAAAAAAAAAAAAAAAAAAAAAAAAAAAAATCTACGAAGCTGGACAAGACAGGAGAGTGAGTGGAGGTGGAGAAGGGGATCAGGACTGCACCCACTCCGACATAAGAGGAGAGAAAGAAGGAACAGAACCAACGCAAGAGGCTGAGAAAGCAGTAGGAGGGAACCCAGGGGAGTGTGGTGTCCTGGAAGATACTGTTTTAAGCAGGACAGGTCAGGAAGGACTAGCAGTTGACCACTGGGTTTATTTCGTGGGGGTCACTGATGACCTCAGTATGAGTAGCTTCAATGGACAGTTAGAGGCAAAAGCCTGATCTGTGAATGTTCAAGAGAGAATCAGAGGAGAGCAATTGGAGAAAGGGAGTATTAACAACATTTTTGAATAATTTTGCTGAAGGGGGAAGCAGAGACATAGGAAATGTAGAAATATCTGCATTTTAATCTATAATTAGTGAATATTAGATACATGTATGTTGTGGCTATATACAGAAATATACTAATATGTGCTCTACATATCCATATATATTCAGGTATGCACATATAATGATCAGACTAACTAAACACTGCTATTAAATTTCTTCCCTGGGAGTAGTGGAAATGATTTTATTGGTAAAACCAGGTTTTTCTTCTTAATCCGTGGCATGTTAATTAATCAAAGCTTTGCTTTTGTTTCTTTCTAGGTTTAAGAAGTTTGATGACAAGTACCTGCGAAGGCTTTTGATTCGGGAGAACCAACCCAAGTCAAGCATTGTGTCTTTATATAAAAAGCTTGAAATAAAACATGCCATTGAGATGGCAGAGACGGGAATGATAAGTACTGTCCCTTCTTTTGCATCTCTGAAGTAAGTCCTGTTTTGCAAATGGAAGTTAGTATTACTAAGTATGTCTTTATAGTTTTGTGAAACCAGTAATAACAGCAAATTTGACTTATCTCCTAACATGATTCCTTAAGACCTCACAGCAGCACAAGATCCTGGTTAAAACGTGAAAGCCTGGAAGTGTGTCCATTATGTTATGTTCTGTCATGTCACATCACACCATGTTGTGTTATTGCAGAGTGGACCAGTCAGAAAGTACTTTGTCATGTTTAGGATGATTGTGCCTTTATGATATTTGCTTTGGGCAATTCAGTGTGTTCTGAAAGTAAAGCCTCTTTAGCAAGCATTTTGAAATGGAATATTTTAAGGTGTGTTATAATTTGCAATTATAAATATGCATGTAATTACAAAGCTATTTCCTCATGGATTATTTGCAGAGTCATAGTTTAAGTCTTGGAAAGATCATCAGTGATCATCTCGTGCAGTGGTTCTCAACCCAGGCTGTACATTAGAAAAACTGTAGGAGCATTTAAACAATACGTATGCCTGCCCCCACCCCCGCCCAGACCAATAAAATCAGGATCTCTGGGGTTGAGGCCCAGGTATAGGTTTATTTATAAGTATATAATACGTGTATGGAAGTTTCTAATATGCATCCAGGATTGAGATGCATTGACCTAGTCTGTCTCCCTAATTTTAAAAATGAGGAAATGAAGAGCCAGAATGTAGAGACTTAAACGTCTTACAGCAGACTCTTACAGCAAATCCATAGCAGGACAGTAAATACTGTTAGCAGATTAGCAAACGAGTTTATCATGTAAGCATCATTCCTCCTCTACACAAAAATGACAGATTACGGGTTCCACTGATTTCTTCTTTCACCGATGAGCCTGAATGAAGCTCCTTTAAGCTAAATGTCACCTAAATCAAAATGCTATCTATGGGACGGTTGAAATGAGAGAGGAAGCTCCAAATCACACCCGACCTTATAAACTGTGATTTTTACTAGGACTATAGTCCCCTGTAAAAACTGTGGTAGTTTACACAACCCAGAATAAAAAGAAGGTAGTGGTCAGGATGGCTCAGACATAAAGGCATTATACTGAATTGGAAATGGTGGTGCTTGAGCAGAATGACTGCTTTATAGTCCCAGCTCTGCAAGTTACTCACTGTGTGACCTTAAGCTGGTCCATCTGTTTCCCTGATGCTGAGTTTCTTCAAGTAGAAAATGGGGCTAGACTTGATCCTACAGTTTACTCTAGCTTTACAATTTACGATCTTTCTTATGCACTGTTCCTTTTGTGCTTGCAGCAAGCAATAATTCAACTATCCAGCTTCTCAAAAGGGAGCCATTGCCTTTGTGGTCATAGAAGAAGGAAATCTCACTTTTACCTCTGTTCACAGTTCATTTTGAAGCCAGTGGTAGAAGCCAGTAAAGGCAAACGTTTAGGGTTAGGGAAAGTAGGTAACAAAATTAATGGATAGCTACATAGCTGGGTAAATGATTGCCATATTGACCATTCCACCTCTCCTGAAATGTTTTCTTTAGAGGAAGATAGAAGCAAAAAAGGAAGGCAATAGGGAGTCATATTTCTGGCAATAATGAACCGAGGGCCAGACCAACTACCTTCTGAGAAAACTAGAGGTAAAAGGACAAAGTATGTTTCGTCCAAAGTATATTTTAAATATCTGCTTGAAAGCTGGAGAGTACCCTTACAGTGAGGAATTTCTTGGCCAAGAGTCAAAAAAGCGGGAAGTTCAAGAGGATAGAACTGGTATTTGTTGCCATTTTCTCTCTGGAATACAGAGAATGTATCTGAGACTCTAAAAAGCTAAAACAGAGGTTTTGACAGACTAATTGGTCTTAGAGAATAAAATGGGAATTCAGAACCTACGAAGAAGGAGGAGAATTTGTATGTACTCAGCTCTAGGTTTTCCTGCAAAATCCTACACCTTAACCCTCAAAGGAAAGAAGTCCAGCCTAGAATTATCTCAATTCATGATTGTTTAAATCATCAGAGACTGAGATTGCCTCTATCTCAGCTGCTCAAGGGAAGTACATTTAAATCTTCTCTGGAGGAAATAATATTGTAAAGAGCGTTAAACTATCTTCATGATTTTTTTTATATATTATGTCTAGCACTCAATCCAAAATAACCAAGCATATGAGTAGACAAGGAAATGTGACTGAAAATATTGAGGAAAAGATCAACAAAACATAGAGTAATAATAGGCACAAAGGGGATTCAGATAATTGATTTATCAGACAGTGACTTTAAAATAGAAACAATAACATGTTTAAGGAAAGAAAATGGCATTGACACTTTTGGCATCCTCATGGAGACTATATAAACAAAAAATATCTAAGTGGAATATTTGAGCTAAAAATAAAGTAACTAAATTTAGGATCTCATTTGGTAGGTAGAAAAACAGATTAGACACAGCTGAAGAGAGAAGTGATTAATTGGAAGATAGGACAGAAGGAAATAACCAGCATGAAGAAAAGATGAAAAAGAAATATATGGGATAATTTCATATATATATAGTGAAAAGTTCCAGAAGGAGATGAGAGAGAAATTGGTAGAAGCAATATTTTAAGAGATAATGACTGAGAACTTCCCCAAATAGATAAAGGATATGAACTGTGACAACCCCAAGCAGATTAGATAGGGAGAGAACCAAATGAGATACCTGCTAGTAAAACCACTAAAAGTAAAAAAATACAAAGAGAACCTCTTAAACATACTCAGAGGGAAAAAGAGACTTATTTTCTTCAAAAGAGAAAAAAAACCTGGCAACCGATTTTTCAGCAAAACCAGTGGACACCATTGGTAGCTTCAAAAATTCTGAAAAAGTGTAACTGAACTTAGAGCTCCATATCCTGCTAAAATATCCTTCAGAAAAAGTAGAGTTAAAACTTGGGAACTTCCTGCGCTTAGGAACACTAGACAGCACTTCAGAGCTATGCTTGGGGACCATTTAGAACAGCAAGATCACCCATAAAAAGCACAAAAATGTGAAAAACATGGCACTAAATAGGCTGTGAAAAGGACATTTTTTTTTTACAGCATGAGAGCTGAGACAAGGGGGGCAGATGAGTTTGACCTCATTTGGGAACGTGCATGCCCAGCGACTCAAGTTTTTCTCCACTTTGCACATGTCTGTGAATGACTAGGACAGTGCAATGAGTACTGATAATGTGTTTATAAATTTTAGCAAGTAGTTGAGCTTGCAGATACGGAATCCCTGAATAATGAGGATCAATTGTATGTACATACATATTATAAATGGTGTCTTTGTAAATGTTTCTAAGGAGGTATTTAAAAGAATAGACCATAATAGCAAAATGCAGCTAAAGTTTTTGTTGGGGAAAAAAATCCTATATTAATTTATGGAGTATTAGAAATAATAAAGTGATAGTATTGCAAGCTACTCTGGTCTTTCCTCCTTAAATAATTGCATGAATAGACCCTGAAAAAACTTGTGCATGATTAAACTTGTATGAATGATTTTGACACTGAAATCAATATTTTAGATTTTTGAATTATTTAAAAATATTGAATAATTCCTAAGTGTTATTCTTTAAGATCCTTCTTCTTTTTTAAAAAAATTAATTAATTAATATTTTATTTTTGGCTGCGTTGGGTCTTCGTTGCTGCGCGTGGGCTTTCTCTAGTTGCAGCGAGCAGGGGCTACTCTTCGTTGTGGTGTACGGGCTTCTCATTGCGGTGGCTTCTCATGTTGCACAGCACGGGCTCTAGGCACATGGGCTCAGTAGTTATGGCTTGTGAGCTCTAGAACTCAGGCTCAGTAGTTGTGGCCAATGGGCTTAGTTTCTCTGCGGCACATGGGATCTTCCTGGACCAGGGCTCGAACCTGTGTCCCCTGCATTGGCAGGCAGATTCTGAACCACTGTGCCACCAGGGAAGTCCCAAGATTCTTCTTCTTAAATGATGATATTATATCTCTAAGAAAGAAAATTGATGAATTTGATACATGTTGCATAGTAAAATATTTTTTTCTAAACTTTCACAGTGACTGTCGTGAAGAAAAAATAAGGAAGCTCACACCTGGTGAAATGGATGAAATTCGAGAAATATTATCAAGAAATCTCTATCAGATCCGTCAGCGAGTAAGAATAATTTACTTAGCAAAATATGTATTTGCCTTTGGCTAAAAATATGCCTTCAGATTAGATGCTGTCCAGTTACAGTGGCTGTTGTCCCACCGTCATGCACCCTCAGCAGGTCCCACACCAGACACTTCCTTCCCTCAGACCCACCCCAGGGTCTGTCCTTTTAGGGTACTGCCCTCCTCCCAGACATCTTGGTCAAGGCTCTAGGCTGGAGACCCAGGGAGCTGGGAGTTCTGCTACCAAAGGATTGGAGATTTAAAAAAAAAAAAAAGTGTGTTATCTAATGGTGAGGAAAGCAATTGATTGCTCTTTAAAATTTTTTTTAATGAAATAGCTTTATTGCTTAGAAGAAGCCTTTTAAAAATGTATTTAACCTTCTTTGTTGTTCATAAAGTGCGATCGTTTCTTCCTTTCCTGTATCTTCTGAGTCACTTCCTTTAAACCATTTCCATTTTTAACACCTCGTTCTCATAGTTTGCTAATAATACAGTTAACAGTGCATACAGTTTGCCGAGCCCGATTTCTCTGCATCGCGTGTATTACCTCTTTTAATCCTCTAACAAGTGGTGTTATTATTGTCTCCATTTTACAGATAAAGAAACTGAGGCACAGTGAGGTGAAGTGGCACAGGGACACAGCAGTTGTCAGGGGTCCCAGTCACTCACATCAGGGTCATTTCCGTGGCTTCTTAGCTGGCCTCCCCACAGACCAGCCCGTTCCATCCGACATTACGGCTGCTCCATTCTTTTCCTCAAGCCCCTCTTAACGCAGCATCCTCCTATTTAAAATGAGACAAAGCAGTCGCGGCTTTCAGGCTAAACTAACTATTCTTTCAGCCTTTGGGATCTATTTTTAAGTTCCCCTTTCTACCTCTCCCTCAGCCACCCAGACACCCACGGAGGACAGGTCTGAATTCATTCTTGGACTGTGTTGCTCTCCCCTGTGTCTCCACTTGGAATGTCCCACTTCTTCCTGTCAGTCCATCCATATTCTCCGATTTTTAAGGTTTCCCCAACGCCCTCTACGTTGTTCCCAGACCTGTCTTTGAATGGGATAATAGCACTTAGAGCTCCTACATGCCACGCAGTTCTAGTATCTCCTTTCGTGATTTAGTTATTATTTTGTTAGCTTTCAATGCCCAACTAAGATAGCCAGTTCCTCAAGGCAGGAATTGAGTGCTCTTCTGCATTACTTCTGTTTATCTCTGCTAGGTCTGATATAGTTCTGGGGATAAGGGTATTCCCAAGAAGTACACATTATTTCTATCAGAAAATGAATTTAATTACTAAATACAATTTATTTTAGGAAGTGGATTTCTCTAGAGCTTGTAAAACTAAAAATATTATGCCCTGGACAGCCCTCGTTTATAAATTGTATGGCTTCAAATACCAGGACATGATCATTACTGAGGGAGCCAGCAGCTTTTCTCAACTTGCAAAGAAGAAATGTTCTTGACTTAATAGAGGGTCATGGCGCCACCAAGTGGCCCAAAGTGGTTGGTTTCTGTACTAGCAATTACTATTCAATAGGGAAGGTATGAGTTGACTTGTGTTTTTCCCCAGCCACTACTGATGGGTAAATATAGACAGAGTACTTCAAGGTAGTCGAAGGTGCTTGATGAATTCGATCGTTTTCTCATTTATAAAGATCACACTTTTCAATGAAAAAAAAGTATTCACCGACTCTTATTAGAACATGAATTCTTCTTTTTTCTTAAGTAGAGGATTTTATTTGGTTGAATCAAATACATAGTTATTGAATACATGTGTGGATATATGTATTGACTATATCTATGAATAGAACAAAGCACTGTATTCCCTGCAGAAGATACAAATGAATAAAGTACAGCTCCTGCTCTGACACATTTAGACAAGACCACCACCATCACCATCTTCATCATAGCTAATAACAGTAGGTAATATCAGTTGAGCACTTCTCTGTGCCCAGCACAGTTGTAAGGGTTTCTGTGACACCGATATATCATATATCTCTACAAATAACTTGAAATTACTACCACTGTTACCCTTAAATTGAGATTTGGTAGAACATGAATTCGTTCAAAATTTGAAAGGATGTTAACTTCTATACTTCTTGTTTTTCCCCTCTGCACGTTCATCGTTAAGTACCTATCAGAGGTACGAAGCCAAAGAAATGGAGTAAAGTTTTGGAATTTCCGGGCAGCGATCATCGTTTTTGTAATTCGTTGCTTGTGTTTTCATTTCAGACTTTGTCCTACAACCGACACAATCTGACTGCCGACACGAGTGAGAGGCAAGCCAAGGAGATCCTGATCCGTCGAAGGCACAGCCTTCGGGAGAGCGTTCGGAAGGACAGCAGCTTGAATCGGGAGCACAGGGTAAGGGGGCTTCGTGGCCCTGGGACGCAGAAGGCTTCCAACAGCAAAGCCAGGATGGCCCTGGGGGGCTGATTCACCCCCCTCCATCCTGGGATGGAGCTCATCATCACGTCTTTCCAGACGTTGCTCGGACACCTATCACCTTCCAGACACTGTCTAGGCACTTGGAATACGTTGGTGAACAAAATGACAGAGCTCTTTTCCCTTGTGGAATTCACATTCTAGTGGGGGAGAAGGCCACCGGGAATGGACAGAATAAGAAAAGTATCTGTTATGTTAGACGCAGTAAGTGCTGTGGACAAAATAAACCTAAAAGGGCTGAGGAAGGAGATTGGGAGGATGGAGAAGGGTCATACAGGGTACAGTTTTTTCTTTTTTTTAACATCTTTATTGGGGTATAATTGCTTTACAATGGTGTGTTAGTTTCTGCTCTATAACAAAGTGAATCAGTTATACATATATATATGTTCCCATATCTCTTCCCTCTTGCGTCTCCCTCCCTCCCACCCTCCCACCCTCCCCTCCCACCCTCCCTATCCCACCCCTCCAGGTGGTCACAAAGCACGGAGCTGATATCCCTGTCAGGGTACAGTTTTAAACTGAATGGAAGGGCCAGGCTTCATTTGGAGTCTTGACCTTTCCAGGGAGAGGGTGCAGCCTGAAGGGGGGCTGCCGTGCGTGCATGTGTGGAAACTTCTAGGAGGCCGTGTGTGTGTGTGTGTGTGTGTGCACGCGCGCACGTCAGGGGAGTTTCAGATGCTGCATGCTCAGCATTCGACTTGGTCCAGGGCATTGCCATAGATAAGGAAGCCACTTTAAAAGGATATTCTGATTGACTGATCGAACATAGCAGGCAGTGCGTCTCATTCTCAATAATGTTCTATACCGAGCTGTCAGAGACCAAAACGGTTATGTGTGAACAATATTATTTTTTTTACATGTGAAATGTGGCAGCATCGACTAAAAGTTAAAGAAACTAGAGGCTGTGGCTTCGGATGCCACAAGGGCCAGCACGTTGGCTATAGTAATACTTTCTGTTCTGTCATTTTCAAGATTTGTGAAAGTAAATACAACTTAAACATGCTACATTTTTCATGTATCTTCCTCCCTATCCATGTAGGTTCTAAGTCTTCTTTAGTAATGCTTTTATAAGTGGGTGTTTCTGTAGCTTTTCTTTAAGAAAAGCCGGTGGTTTTCCTACCTTGTTCCTAAGGGTCCCACTTCATTTCTGTTTTCCTTAGTAGTACTGATTTCCATGATATCTTAGGAGAGGTTTTACCTATTTTAAATAAAATGACTATGACTTGGAAATGTATTCCCCATCCCTACAGCTCCTCACCCAGTAGTTTCGGAATCCAGAGCTAACATTTTAATTTTTAACACCCAGGTTAGGTTTGACATAGAATTCTAAGCCCGTAACATACAGTAAATGACACGTGTGTCATCTAAACAAGGTTTTCTATTTTTTTTTTACAGGTTTCCACCTCAACCTCCCGATATTTATCCTTACCAAAAAATACAAAGCTTCCAGAAAAGCTACAAAAGAAAAAGAATGTTTCTAATGCAGGTATTGAATACAGCTGGAGCAAAAAGACTTTAAACTTATTTATTCGTGTTTATAAAATAGAACATTTTCCCTTCTTTTTTAAGGACAATGAGTTCAGTCGTTTGCAAATCTATAATAATAATTTGGTGACCTTTTATTAGTGTTGCATCCTTTTGGAATGGCGTTCTGTGCACGTTATACGTAATTTAATCAGTTATTTGATTCTATTCGATGTGGCAAAAGCAGATGTCACTGTGTGTGGCTGATGAACAGGTAAATAGAAAGCTGTCAGTCTTCAAAGGTTTAAATTTAATTGTTACTCTTACAACATTTCTAACTTTAAATGTTCATAATAATTTTAAGATATTTTCATAAAGGCAACTATATAATTGACTTCTGGCTGTAATTATTAAAGCTTTGACATGACGGCTAACATCTCTTCATTTGATGGTAATCTTTATGTAGATTGCAAGCCATATTGGTGTTTTGACCATTTTATGAAAATATAAAGGAAATAAAGCTGTGCATGAGATTGTACATCCTAGATCAAGACAAGAGTCTTCATAATAGCAGCTAATTACTGATCTGTTTACCGTGAGCCAGACACTGAACTGAGCCCCCTGGGGCCGTTCTGACGGGGCAGGTGAGCGCACAGCTGCCGCCAGGTGGTCTCAGTTTGACATCCAGCTCCACCACTTACTAATATCTTTTGAACCTCAGTTACTTCATATGTAAAGTGGGTGGTTATGAGGATTCAGTAGGTTAATGCATTTAAAAGCGCTTAGGACAGTGGCTGGCACATGGGAAGCTCTTCAGAATTAGCAAGAGTACACACTTGTGGACACGCGTGCTCATGGGACTTATGCACGCGCCCAGGACTCAGCTGGAGTCGGGGTGAGCCCTCTGGCCTCCCTGCCCGACCCCCAGAGCCCTAGGGAGGGCACAGCAGGTGCCAGACCCACAAATGTATTGGCCAGTCGCCTGTAACACCTTCTCCCTAAAAGGCCCGCCCATGCTGTCCTTCTTTTGCTCTCTGGCAGGTGGCAACAGCAGTGACTCAGACCCAGATGTCGGGACCACTGTCCTCAACCTGCAGCCCCGAGCCAGGCGCTTCTTGCCAGAACAGTTCTCAAAGAAAGCCCCCCAGGCCTATAAAATGGAATGGAAGAACGAGGCAGATGCTGATTCCAGGCAAGCGCAGCCCTGCAGCTCCCCAGCTGCCCACAGCAAAGAGGGGGGCCCCCAGGCCCCAGGCGTGCTCTGCCAGCCCCTCCTCTCCAAAGGCCACTTTGGCTCCATGCGGGGCGACCATATGAACGAAGGCATCCGACCCAAGGCGCCACCTAGGCTGGTCCGAAGGGCATCAGAACCTGGAAACCGGAAAGGTCGATTCGGGATTGAGAAGCCTTAATGGAAATGGCCAAAGCAGACCTGGGGGGACCGGCCCTGCCCAGCTGTGGCTGGTTACCCAGCAATGTGACACAGCAAGGGAATCCACTTCCAACCCTCTATGCACCTAAATACTGTCCTTGGGCGGTAGAGCCATGCCTCTGATCCATGGGGCGAATGCTTATCCCAAAAAGCAGAAAATCAAAGAAACAAAAGCCCCATAACATGTCTCATAGGACCTGTTGCTAGCAGTTGTATTCTGTGCAAGCCTGAAGAAAAAAAAGCCACGTGTGCCTTTATTGAACTTGAAGGACAGAACTTGAAATTTTTAACACACCCTTGTTGGTGAAAGTTTTAATATATACATATATGCCTCAGATTTTATTTATGAAAAAATATGTATATCTGTAATGAGTTTTTCAGTGAACGGCACTGAAAATACTCAGAACACCTTTCCATGGCATCCAGGGCAGCTCCTAGAGGATGGGGGGCATCAGCTCAGGGTGGAGGTGTTTCCTGATCCTGAGCTGACGCCAGTTGGTTAAGGAAGAGCACGGCACGGAGCAGAGACCCCTGAGGATGGCAACAGCCAGAGCATCTAGGCAGAACCTCGTGGCCTGGCTCCCAGACTGTAGCGCCTATGAAATGATGAGAGTCAGCTGGTTTTCAATTTGTTCCTCGTTCTACCGAGTGTTTTGGGTGACATCTAGATTCCATCTCCCCGTCGTGTTTAAATGGTACAAAGAGAAGGGCTGTGTGGGTGACACCAGCTTATGCTGTATGCCAGGCTCAGAGCCAGCTTGTGACGAAGTCTGGCCTCACGTGGTGGGTGTGGAGATGACAGGGCAGCGCCTGCACAGCTGGCTGCCGGGTTTTCTCTTGTGCAATACTGGGAGGAGGATGCAGGAGACCCCCTGTCACGCCCACCTGCAGCCACCTGCTTTAGACCTTTTCTGTAGCACATTCTAGAACTTTGAATCCAGGACAGAGGCTCCAAGCAGACAAAGATAAAAGTAGGGATAAACAATATTCCAATGTTTAACCAATTGGTGAGAATTCAGGTTTTGAATTTTATGCAGGAAGCACTTTGGAGAATGTGGGAGTTCTCTTTTTTTTGCACTAGTCTGTAATTTCTTACCTCTCCCCCCTCAAGAAAGTAGTAGCTCAAATTCTTCATCTAAAAACGAATTCTACTCATCTGAGTACTTTTTAAAAGTACAGCAGAAAGACAAGAAGTGGAACATAATCATTAAAGATTAATATTGGAATCTCTCAGACGATAGATTTTATTGGCCTGTCACTCTTCCCAGAAAAACCCCCTCTTTAAAACTTGACTAGAACAAGACTCAAAATTTCTGGGTTTAGATATGAGATGAAGCCACTCATGTAGTCCCTTGGATTCACATTGGAGATACAGCAAAGGAGACAAGTGACCACCTACAATTGCTGGAAAAAGATGAATAAATTAAACAAAAAGATCCGGTACTTAGAAATCCTCAGCCGTAAATCTTATCCCTTCCTTCTTCCTCCACCAATGTGAAGTAAATCTTCTACCTTTTTTTCTCATGTTCTAAAATCTTGGAATACTGCTAGATTGTTGGGCATGAGACAGAGGGAAGGGTAAACACACAAGGTACAAGTTCAAAAAGTGCACGATTTCTTTCCCAAACTCTCCCAGGTTGATCAGTGGAAAGCAGTGTAGACGTAATTTGAAAACTGCAAGTTTAGGACCCTGTGCCAAAATTCTTAATTTTAAATGGAAATATTTATATATAAAAAAATATATATGTATTTCATCTGCTGGAAATAAATTAAAACTGACTTTTAATTTAGAATTTTCATTATAGGACTATGATTCACCAAGAGATGTGATGTATATTTTTGAGAGTTTGAAGACTAAGTTACAGTTTATGAAATCTGAAAAGGAAGCTGAGATGTAAAATGATCTTAAAAATGAATTTCCTGATTTTTCTTGGTGTCCTAGATTAATAAATATTAGAAGGAGTCTAACGTTCTGGAACGGAAGGAGAAAAACATGGAAATGTTTATTATGATACTTCTTGTTAAGCACGTAGACCAAATTCAGCTTTCACCAATTAAAAGTCAGGTAAAACACTTGGATGACATTGTGTAAATTTCTAAAAAGGAACACTTATGTCATTTTGTCTTTATTATCAGTTTAAATTTTTCCTTATCTGTGGAATGATAAAATCGATGAAAAAGAAATTTGACTTTAGTATTTTCTCTGTACCTTCTTTTTATGAAATTATTGATTTCTAGACACTACAGGAGGAGAGGGTATGGAGTTGAAACCCTTTAACTAAATGTCACAACAATCTAAATTTCTGCAGTACAGAAACCTCCCTGCCCTTGTAAATGATTCCCTTGTTTCAAACAACACTTGATCCGGCCAGAGTTCCACTGTGATTGTGGAATTTTGATGGGTCTTTCATATTTGTTGTCAAAAAAATTGATTTGAACTATTTACAAAGTCAGGGCTTATTTCTTTATATGTGATGCCAAGGCCGGTTATTGGGAGCAGTTCTGTCAGTTAGCAGACGATTAGAAATTGGCCCCAAAGTCTGACACTTTTTAGAAACATGTGTTTGCTGTATATGCCCCCAAATATTCAGGGTGAAACTCCCTTCGGCTTTTGCTAAGTTTTGGAGTCGGGGTGTACCGTTTTACCTGGCGGCGGGGGGCGGGCATGTTTCTTTATATAAGAAGCGAGAAGCAGTTACTTATTACAGGTCTCAGCCCATTTTGCATCTGTTGCATTGCCCAAATCATGTTTATGTTAAAACTGGCATTTCACAAACAAGTATGAGAACTAGTATTTTATTAGTTCCAAGTGCATACTTTACTCTTTCAAGAGTGATTGAAGGGTTTCTTTGTGCAGTTGATGTAGCTGTGACATTATCTGTTGAGGCCTGAACACTGAATTTGATTCCCTCCGTCAGCTTGAATAAGCCAGCCTCATGAATCAGAACTGTCTGGTGATCTGGGATTTTCTGGTTCGTTTTTTTTTCTCCACTCTTAGAGCAAAATGGGTAGTTTGCTGGGGTTTTTCTGTTTTTTTTTATGTGAACCAATTTTTTTTAGTCTTTATTGAATTTCTTACAATATTGCTTCTGTTTTATATTTTGGTTTTTTGGTGGCAAGGCATGTGGGATCTTAGCTCCCTGACCAGGGATTGAACCCGCACCCCCTGCGTTGGAAGGCAAAGTCTTAACCACAGGACCGCCAGGGAAGTCCCAGCTTGCTGGTATTTTATATCCCACATTTTAACCAGGTCCTTTCTTCAACCTACCTGCAAGGCAAGTGAGAGCCCCAGCTGGTAACTGCTGCCTGGCAGGGACCATAGCTCTCGTCCACGATAAATGACAAGAAATGACAGCTCCCTCTGGAATTTTCCCCAATGTCATTCACTCCCCACGTGGCTGACACCCTCAGACGGTCGGTCAGCAGATGGTGGCCAAATACCCACGTGGTTAGTCAGTTGCCGAGTGTTTTCAGCGTTCTGCTGGCACGTCATTTTCCAATCCCGTTTATATTTCTAGTTTTCTACAATTCTTTTTCAAATAAAATTCTACTTGACTACCTCTAAGAATAGTCAATAAACTGTGGGTAGTTCTCATACCGGTCTGGTCAGGGAATGGGTTTTTCTGTGTGCAGAGTTAACCTAGCTACTGTAAATGGACGGTCACGTTTCAACCCGCATGGCCTATTGATTCTTTTGGAGGGCTCGGGACCTCTCAGTCTGTCACAGAGGTTTTATGGGGAACCGTCGTCCTCGTATTGTAGGGTGGAGAAAATCCCTCCGTGAGATGCCCAGCCGACTTTAATGCTGGACATACTGGTGGTGACTTTTCTGTAACGGAATACTTTGAATTAAATATTCAAATGTTTTTCCCCTTTTTTATTTCATTGGGTCCTGCTGAGTCATAAGTACTAGTGGTAACTGAATTTCTAATTTAAACGAGGCTTTTTTTCTACCTAAATTTCTAATTTAAATGAGGCCTCCAGTTACAGTATCTGCCAAACAAATTGTATGTGTGTACGCTGACAAAGGAGTGCTTCTCCTGGTTTCTGTGAAATGTCGTACAGAAGTTTAAAATATTAAGTTACACGGAAACATTTAATTAGTCACTATGGAGAAAATCATACATCACATGAAACTAGGAAAGCCCCAGAAATTCCAACTTTTATATTTATACATCAAAACCATTCTCATTTGTACTAAATGGGGTCATGAGAGCTGGAATTTGTGAAAGAAGAATTTTTAAGAGTATTAAAGTAGTTTCAGGGCCTTCCCTGGTGGCGCAGTGGTTGAGAATCTGCCTGCCAATGCAGGGGACACGGGTTCGAGCCCTGGTCTGGGAAGATCCCACATGCGGCGGAGAAACTAAGCCCGTGCGCCACAACTACTGAGCCTGCGCTCTAGAGCCCATGAGCCATGACTACTGAGCCTATGTGCCGCAACTACGGATGCCCACGCACCTACAGCCCGTGCTCCACAACAAGAGAAGCCACTGCAATGAGAAATCCGCGCACTGCAACGAAGAGTAGCCCCCGCTTTCCGCAACTAGAGAGAGCCCGTGCGCAGCAACGAACAGCCAACACAGCCAAAAATAAACAAATAAATTCATTAACAAAAACAAATAATAAAATATATTTTACACATGAGCCACTCTTCGGGAACACAGTGTTGTATGTACATGGTGTTTACTCACTGTGAGACCAGCTATTTAGACCAAGGTCACAGCTGATCAATCCCTGGGACAAAACTGACCATTCTGTTTGTACTGCACGAATGACTGGACGCCGAGGCCTCAGGACCAGCATGGTGCACTGGAGGGCACACAGGAGCAGGAAAGAAGGGGCGCATCAGTGAAAGGTTCTGAACTGCAAACTACTGCGTGGTGAGAAGTGGCAGTGGCGAGATCAGCTCTGGATCTTTCTACCCCCTGCGGTCGGTGTACAACCCACCACTCCCAGTGGCTCCTCCGTCTATACACTTAAGTTTTATAATTGATAAGCCATGTAGTTCAAAAAGGCCCAACTTCAAATAGAATCCTAAGATCTGAATGGATTTGATGACTGTCAATTAATTGAAACAAACAAAACTGGTAATAACTTCTGTTTGCATTCTTTTCTCCTAGTACAAATTTGGCAGGGAATCATGGGAAAAACATGTTACAATTTAAAAAGCGGGCTCTCATTCTGACTCAGCGAGTCCTTTCAGATCCAGCCACGCAATCTCTTCAGGCCTATGTCTTCTCAGAGGTCAACTGAGGGAGAGAGATGACCGAGGGATCCTTCTTGAAATAAGGGCACTGCCAGTCCTCACCATCTGCACACTTCCTTTTTGGTAAACCTCAACCCCCTATTTTACTACAGCCATGATGGGTGGCCTCAGAGGCGTAGGGTTATACTTTCAACATGTGTTGCCAGGTGGAAGAGGACTTACCACCAATGTGCTGGAAAAGAACTGCAAAACGCCGCAGGAGGAGCCTGTAAAAAACATAAGTGATATCTATAAAATCAGCTAGACCCATCACAAAAATGGATGAAATTAACAGAAAAACATTAGGGGAAAAAAGACCATTTTTAAAAAGTAAATTACCCCATAATAATTTTTAAGATGGAAGAGTAAATTAATATAATTTTTAGTAAAGGCCTTCAGAATAAAATGGAGGGAAAGCAGGAGAGAGACTAGAGGCAAAGGTCACCCTTAGGGACCTTGAGAGAGTCCTTCTCAACCTGCATGAGGCGAGAAGTCATGACTTCTCCGTGACTATAACATTAGGCTACAGGTTCCCGCAGGCAGGAGTCCATGCCTAACCAGCTCCCTGGAGAGGCTCAGTAAGTACCTGTGACATCACAGGCGGTGTGGGGCATGGGGGTGATGCTATACCTGGAAACCTCTCTGAACATACGTAGTCTAGGAAAAGATGAACTACATTTGCTCCAGGGTTGTACTTTGAAATAGTCTGAAATTCATTTTATCCCCTTTTCAGTTCACCGTTGGATATTACTTAGCTAAAAGACTGATGTGTTTTCAGGTACTCAGTTCAGGGGGGTTGAAAATCAGTGCCCTGAAAATGTGCAGGATTGCTCACCTACTATTCCAGCAACTGCTGGACTCGCTCCAAAAGACTTGACACGAAGGCTCAGTAAAGGGACGACCGTGCTCACACCAAACAACTCCTAAGCAACAAAGCGCTCATTAACGCAAATTGGAAACTGAGGCCTGGGTGTCTTTAAAGTGGTGATCCTAATTATAAACTGATTTAAAAAACCCCACAGTATGTAAAATTTGGAGCAAACAAGAACTCAAAATTGTATTCTACAGTAAGCTATACTCATCAAATTCAAGGGATCAAGGAATCTAAATACAATGTGTAACAAGAGCTGCCACCTGTAAATGCCTGGATCGCCCCGAGAATCCATTTTAACTTTAGCTTCTTTGTCACTGATCCTTAATATTCAAGGAGCACGTACTACATGCATTCCTCAAATTTAAAAAATGGGGAGTAATGAAATGAGCCAAGAGGGAGGGGTAATGTGTATTTCTGAGCAAAGCAGCACCTGTTGAATAATGTGAAATTCCTCCCGGAGTCAAGGAAGGAGACCCATGTGCCATCTATAGCCTGACGAGGTAAGACCTGAAGGGAAAGTCTCAGTACAGCAGAAAGGAGAGGAAGGCTGATGTACTAGAGGGTGGCCTGCCGTTCTTCACTAAGGCACAGAAGGTGCATGGGCCCTGGGGTCAGAGGTTTTCAATTCCAGCTCCATCACTTACTAAGCATGTGCCCTTGGAAAGTTATTTCATGTTACCAGCGTCGGTGCTGCCATCTGTAAAAAATGGGGATAACAGTACCTGCGTGGTAGAAACGGGATGAACATTAAGAGTCATGATGGCTGAGGGAGGTCTGATACAGCAGAAGTGGAAACGTGTTCTCTTTCCTTCAATTCTGGGGTAAGTACTGATCGTTTGGGCTAATACTCTTGAGTTAGTAGAAAGATATTTTTTCCTTTAAGTTTTGTTTTCCTTCCTCTGTCACTTGGTTACCTGCTACAACTGGTTCAGGAGAGGAAAAACACATCTTGCACACACACAGAGAGTTTTCTTTATATTCAACCCAAATTCCTTTTCCTGTAATCCTGGTTAAATAGAAATATCTTTTTTCTTCCACAATTAATCCTTTGCTTCCTTCTCTTGGTGGCTGTATATTAACCTAACATAGAAACACGAACTTCCAAATACGCTTCTTAGGGGCCCTTTTCCATGGTTACAGCTTTAGATGGCCATATACTTAATATCCAGTGACCTTAAATAGCTGACACATTTATAATACCAGAACCATGGCTCATTATTTCAATTTTAAGACTACTTAAAATTTCCTCTGTTTCTGAGCCAGTTTCTTCTGGGCTTTACTATCAGCTTTGCCCCATCAGCCTGCTGATGATTTGTAAGACTCAAAATACATCAGCTAGCTGTTGAATTTTCTGGCTTTTTCAGAAAAGGAAACTCAATTGTCCAACAAGATTCTTTTTCCCAAAAAAATTCCCAGTACCACTTGTCATTTATTTCGAATGATTATTCTAAATAAGAAGGGGAGGGGAAGCTGTAAGCAGTCAGGCTGAAATCTATAGGAGGTAAATATGAAAACGGCAACTCATAACAGACTTACTTTAGCACTTAGCCTGAAAAATATTATCTTTCTCTAGCCGGCTGCTAGCTCTTTCCTCTCAGGAAGTTCTGTTTTAAAATTGACTTCTCCATGACTATAAAAGGCAGCTTCTCCCTTCTTCTGAAGCCATAGCTTCTTCAAAACCACCCTCTTTTGAGTGCACTTCAAATCTGGCAACTGGTCATGTGCTTATAACCATTTATAAGGAAATCAGGTGAGAGGGGACCACTTAAACCCTTCTCGGGGAACATCTACCTCTCTCAGTGATATCTGATGAACACATTCTAAAGTTTTAGGACCCTTTTCAGGGTAGGAACCCAAATATTTCTTGATTAGTGGATTATCTTTTTTTTAAAAAAAGAATTATCACCTGACTAAAGCTGATTAAATGGAATCTAAATCTCTCCGGGTATCTGGAGGAAAGAAAGGACCGCAATCATAGATCTTAGCATCATCTTAGGATGCTAATCAAAAAGTACCTAGAGGGTCATCTTAGTCTTCCTTCCTGAACAAATTAAAACCTGGCAACACAGATAAGAGCTAAAAACAAAACATTTTGGCAAATGCTTTCATCTTATTCCTTTCCTCTTCCAATTGGAAACCATCTTCCTAAAAGTCTTAGGGGTCTTTACATCCCTAGGTATATTAAAAATAACAACTAAATTATGTATAATATTCCTTAGATGTTAGCTAACAAAGAGCCTTTAGATTCTTCAAGGATACCCAAAGTGGCATGTATTTTAATTGTTTACAACGTTTTCCATTAAAAAATTCCCTATTCTCTTTTAACTCTGGGAAATCTTACATTTTCTCCTTAAGATATTAGAGACCTAATGCTTCTTTCTAATTATTAAAATTATTAAAACTTTCCATCAGGCTTGCTAGATTAGGCTGTGCCATGTGCACAGCATGTAGCCAACATACGAGAAGCTTGGAATATTTAAATCTGTATCGGAAGGTCATAGTGAATGATCTGCAAATTTATTTTAAAAATCTCAAACTATTTTGCCTTCTCGTCATGTTGGTCTCCAAAACTCTCTGAACCCTGGTCTGGACTTTCCAGGTAAGGGTCCTTTTCATCTGGCAGAGCCAGATTCCAGTACCATCTGAGTTAGGGTGGTCCCCATCCCCTACCAGAGCATGGATGACACAGAACTCCCTTTCCAAATTTGAAGAACCACCCACAGTGGACGGTTCTGAATTCTGGGTGACTGGATTGGAAGGCTGAAGAGGCACCACATCCTGAGACTGAACTAAGATTAAAGAAATGGGATCAGAAGGAGAGCCAGGCTCTGAACCCAAGCACTGAGCCTGGGACGGGGTCTGCCACGGTAACTGGAGACAGAGAGCCTGGTGCAAATGCTGCCCTCCCTGGGTGTCTCATGGTTCTGTGTCTAAGGGATTTGATGAACATGCTTTCATCGTTGTCTTAACAACTACTAGCTCAACATTAAACTTTACAGACTGTTGAACAGCTTGCACTGAGGATGGGGAAGAAGGCTGTCTCCCCACTCCTCTCCTAGCTAAGCACAGCTCTGCATCCTAACTCGAGTCAGGCATCAGACTGGGGAGTCGTGATCTTCACCTGCATCTGGGCAGAAAACAGTAATTCCTCTTTGCCAGGACCCAGTGCCCTTGGGGACCATCTTCAAGGCCTCAGAAGGCAGCCTTCTCCTAATGACACTTAAAACTGATCAGCTCCTTTTGTCTTCAAGATGAAGTCCCAGGCCCAGCAAAGAGGAAATCCTCCTGGGTCCTTGTCCCAAGGCTGCCCTAACCCGGATTAGCTCACAACCAGGGCAACTGAACCAGGCCTAGACTTGGGGAAAGAGGGGTGAAGAGGCAGATGTAGGGTTCCCGCATATAATGGCACAGGAATTACCAACACAAGCTCAGTTAGTAATACTGCAGGGTCTTCCCGGTTGGGAATGTGTATTACAGTGCCTGGAGCTCCATAACCCCTACCCCGTAACAGGTTTTCATAAATTCCATGAATAAATGGAGGGCCAGCTGGCTGGATGGCTTACCCTACCATACACTCAGTTTTCTAATCTTCCCATTCTACATGGGAAGTTAATAATTGTCCTTATTAAACCAGGACGCGCACACAAGTCGTAACAAAACCGAACGTGCCTTGTGCAATATATAAAGTTTGTCGAAAGGCAGATGTGTATAATTCACTGTGATTTGCATTTTTAAGCATTCCAGTCTACCAGGAACCCTAAGGAAAATGTACCTAATTCTGCCCAAGCGGGGTGACCAACAGAACTTCCCCAGCTGGCCTGGTAAGAAGGACCTGTGTGTTCCTACCGCTCCCGTAGCTACTGCACGGCTGGGCTTCCCCAAGCTTGCCCCGAGCGCCCCTGCTGTCCAGGCTGCAGGTGATGCACCTGCCACAGGATCTAACACCCAGGGTCACCCTCGAGCGCGACTCGGTCACCGAGTCACACCTGAAGCTGGTGCTGGAGCGTCTTAAACGGCGGGGCTGCGATTGGGGGGCGCGAACTGGACCCAGTGCAGGCGCGATGGGCAGGCCTCATTTGTGGTCAGGTGCAGAGGTAAGGGGGTTACGCGGCAAGAGTGGGACTGAGAGGTAGGGAGGCATCACCAGGCAGACCGCTGCAAGGAAAAGCACCCTTGATCGGGTTCCAGGTCGCGGACGCAGCCGGCACTTCGCGCCCAGCCCCGCACGCACTCACCAGGAATCCCACCAGGTAGAGACAAAGCAGGAAGCGGCGGGCTCCGACGGTACCGGGGCCGGGAGCCCCCGCCTGGGTCCCTGTCCTGGGCTTCTCCCGCGGCCACGGTGTCGCCGAGGCCAGGCCCCGGTCCGGAGCCATGCCGCCTCAGCCCCAGCGTTCCGTAGGCTCACACGCACTGGGGGCTGAGCTCACCTGACAGGCCCGCGGCGCTGGCCCCGCCCCTAGGCGGAAGCGGGCGGCTGCGCCTGCGCAGAGCTGAACGCCGCGGGCGGGCCTTCTTGGGCTGTGCTTCCTAAGCCGGCGCGGCGGGGGGAGTCTGCACGGGTTCCCGCTGGTTCGCGTCCCGCCCGGGGAGTGGACGTGTGAGCACGACGCGCTGGTTTTATGACGGTGATGATGAAGCTCTGCGTATCCTGGGGATAAAGAGCCCGCCGCCCATGCTATTGGAGGGCTGGAGGTAATTGAGATAATGAGCTTCATCTGAGGAGTGGTAGGGGTGGGCCTAGGTGGTAGCGCCGGCTTCGGTGGGAAGATGCGCAGACCTAGGGCTCTAGTTGTCTGTGACTGACCTGGAGAAAGTTCCTTTGGCCCCTCCCGGTTTCGGTTTGCCCCCTTGAAACACAGGAGGACATAGTGTGGACCAGCCTCCTGGAGTTGTGAGGATTCTACAAAAGCCGCGAGCGCTTTCTCTGGGGCCCGCGACGGGAACTCACATCTGGAACATTCACTGTCCTTTAGGCAAGTTGGAGCCTCTGTCCTTTAGGCAAGTTGAGGTTTTCCATCGCAAGAGGGCAGGGCTTCCACCAGGGGCGTAACAAAGGTGCTCCTGAGAGGAGAGGAGGCCGTCATATGGACGTTTGGGCCTCCAGGTGCTACCAACCCGTTAGGAAGCAAAAGGGGTACCTCTCCTAGCTGGAGTGATGGAGCCTCGTTAGCGAGGAGAAATTGGGTGATGTACAGTGGAGTGAGGAAGGACTTTATGTGGAAAATTCCAGAAACATAGAAACAAAAGCAGATAGAACTCTGGAAAATCAGTTCCTGAACTCGCGAAGGAAGAGTTTCATCCTTACATGGAGTAAAGACCCCTGACCAGCTTATGTTTAGGCTGAGGGCAAGTGAAGGAAGAAATAAGTAGGAAAAAAAAAAAGAAAAATCAAAGAAAAAAAATCTCAGTTTTGGAATCAGTGTCTCTTGTTATTCCTATAATAGCTGTTTCCAGGAATAAGTTGATTAAGGGACACTTAGTTTCAAGCTTCATTTATAGATATGAAATTTTATATGTTAATTGTCCTGCTGTTGTCAATTTGAATTAGGTCATTAACATTACTACTGTTTCTGAAATCTCTAGAAAAGTTTTCTCCTTTAGATAAAGAACCTTGGCAAAAAAAAAGAAATAGGTAGCAAAAGAAGGAAGCCATAGATATCAGCTAGGACCTTGGGCCCGGGCCCAGTACAGAAGTGAGGACTTGTAGAAGCTTTGCATATTTTCTCTCTGTTATACATGTGGTTGTTCGCGTATGCTAATCTTCTTCTGTCTTCTTCCAAGTGTAATTTTACATACAAGCAGTTGGAGCCTAACTTTACAATTTAGTCTTTAGGTAACAGAAAATGTAGTAAGACTGACTGAATTTGAGGAGTAATTGAGTAATGTATAGAGGCAGAATGGGTGCAACGACCGTTGAGACTTTTTTTCTTGTGTTAGGTGGAAAAATAGAGTTGTTTTATGAAAATTGAAATGTGAACAGAAGGGTGCATTTGGAAGCTGAGTACCGAAGAATGGACCGTGCCAGTTTTCAGTTTATTGCTCTTAGCTCCAAATACACGCCTTATTGCCCTGCTGTGTGACCCTGGAGCTGGACCTTGTAAACATATCTCCTTTGCTAGGTGGCATGATGTTAAACTCTGGCAATAGACCGTGCTGAGGGACACTGTATGGGGAAGGAGCTTCTCTTCCAGACTAGTGTGCTGTGTGTGGTAGCCAGGAGAATGTGAGACACTTAGTGTTCCTTAGCCCCCAGCAAGGTTCAGTGGCACCCATACAGGCGGCAAGTTCAGTGGGCATCCCAGCTGCTTTCCAGGGGAACCTCCCAGGTGCCCTAGCAAGTAACTTCTGGCCATTTCCATAGGCACCCCTCTGGTGGCTTCCCAGTGAGTTTCATCAGTTTCCCAGCTGAATGCAGTAGGCAAGCACAAGATATAAAAGACATCTGTATTTGACAGAAAGATATAAAATTGTCCCTATTCATAAACCACATGGTCATCTATGTAGAAAGCACTAAGGAATCTATGAAAAAATGTACTAGAACTAGATCCCAATGGAGTTAAACAAGATAACAGAAAAGTAGCTGAAACACTCAGAAATATCTGGAGATTAACAGCACAGTTCTAAATAACGCATAGTCAAAGATACACTCTCAAGATAAATTAAAAAAAATATTTTCAACCAAATGAAAGTGAAAATACAACTTATCAAACTTGGCAGATGCAACAAATGTGGCCCTTGGAAATTTATAGCGTTGAATGCCTATGTTAGAAAAAAGATCTAAAATCAATAATCCAGGATTCCACTGTAGGAAACTAGAAGGAGAGCAATTTTACTTTCTTTGTTTAGAACCAACTTTCTGATCTATATCACATTCCTTCTTCCTGAAGAACTTCTTTTAACATTTCTTATCTTACGTGCTGGCAATGAATTCCCCCTGTTTTTATTGTATGACTAGGCTTGTTTTTTCCTTTACTTTTAAAGGGTATAGAATTCTAGAGTGAGATGTGGGTTTTTTCTTCATTCAGTCCTTAAAAGATTTCACTCTATTGTTTTCATCCTTGTATATTATCTGATGATACGTCTGCTGTGTTCTTCTGTAGGTAATTTGCTTTTTCCCTCTGGCTGCCTCTAAGATTTTATCTTTTTCTTTGATATTCAGCAGTTTGAATATGATAGGCCTACTTGTGTGCTTTTTCTATTTTGGTATTAATCCTGCTTTATACTGTCTGAGTTTCTTTGATCTGTTATTTGCTGTGTTTCTCATTTAGGAACATTTTCAGCCATATTTCTTCAGATATTTCTCTGCCCCATTTTCTGCCTTGTACTTCCGGGACTCCAGTGATGCAGTAGCATGACCTAATGCTATTACCCATTAGACCTTGAATGATGTGTTCTGTTTAGTTTTTTCTTTCACTCTTTTTTTCTTTTCATATTTCAGCTGGGATAATTTCTATTGATCTGTCTTCAAGTTCACTGATTCTTCCCTTGTCTGTGTTTAGTCTGCTGATGAAATTGTCAAAGACAATCACCATCTCTGTTATTGTGTTTTGATATCTAGAATTTGCATTTGATTTTTTCTTACAGTTTACATCTCTGCTGAAGATGCCTATCTGGTCTTAAATATTGTCTACCTTTCCCAACATAATCTTTAACATATTTATCATAATTATTTTAATTTCATTGTGTGATAATTTCAACATCTGTGTCATACCTGGGTTTGGTTATGACGATTGCTTTGTCTCTTCAGACTGTGTTTTTTCTTTCTTTTTTTTGAAACAACATTACTGAGATATAATTCACATACTACACAATCAACCTATTTAACATGTGTAATTCAGTAACTTTTAAAATATTTACAGAATTGTGCGACCATCATAAAAATCAATTTTCAAATATCTTAATCGCTCCAAAAAGAAAACCTGCACATCTTAAGCATAACCCTCCAAACCCCCAGCCCTCCAAAGCTTAGGTAACCACTAATGTACTTTCTGACTCTATATTTGCTTATTCTGGATATTTCAGAATGCATGGAATTATATAATATGTGTTCCTTTGTGACTTTTTTTTCCCTTAGTATAATGATTTCCTAGTTCATCCATATGGTAGTATGGATGCTAAATAACATTCATTGTATGGTTATACCACATATTATTTATTCCTTCATTAGTTGATGGACGTTTGGGTTGTTGGTTCCAATTTTTGGATATTATGAATAATGCTGCTGTGAACATTTGTGTACAAGTTTTTGTGGAGATATGTGTTTTCATTTCTCTCACAGTGGAGCTTCTAGGTCATTTGGTAACTTTACGTTTAAACGTGGAGGAACTGTCAAACTGTTTTCTACCGGCAATATATGAGTGTTCTAATTTCTCTACATCCTCATCAACACTTGTTATCTAATGATTGTGGATTTACATTTCCCTGATGGGCGATAATATTGAGCATCTTTTCATGTGCTTATGGGTCATTTGCATATCTTCTTTGAAGAAATGTCTGTTTAGACACTTTGCCCATTTCTAAACTGGTTGTTTGTCTTTTTATTATTGAGTTGTAAGAGTTCTTTATATATTCTAGATATGAGTCCTTTATCAGATATATATACTTTGCAAATATTTCTCCCAGTCTGAGGGTTATTTTTTCACCTACTTGATAGTGTCCATTAATGAACAAAAGTTTATTTTGATAATGTCCAGTTTATCTAATTTTTGTATTGCTTGTGCTTTTGCTGTGACATATAAGAAATCATTGCCTAATTAATGGTCATGAATATTTATACCCGTGTTTTCTACTAAGAGTTATATGGTTTTAGCTCTTACATTTAGGCCTGTAGTCTGTTGTGAATTACTATTTTTTGTAAATTTTGCGAGATAAGGAGGGAGTGGGCCATGGCTAAAATGTCAAGGACTCTTGCTGTTCTTGTCAAAATTTAAGTAGATTTTTTTGAATAAATGTTTCTTCATTTGCTCTTTGCTTTTAGGACAATTTTCTTAGACTTTAAATGGTCAGATGTTTTAAATAGATTTCACGAGTTATACTAGTTTCACTGGGGAATGGATCCGTGGAACTGCCCTGACTGTCATTCTGGAAGTAGAACTCAGACTGGTTTTTCTTGCTTTTCACGCTCCTGTAATATTTTGTTGAAAGCTTGGCATGTTGTATAGGACAGTAATAGTGAAATTATACTAGTACGTATATATACACACACTTTTCCTCCTGCCAGTCCTTCAGTGTGAGGGTGTGTGTTAATCTGGTCGAGAGTGGTCTGAGACTGTAGTTTGTTGTTGCTGTGGTTGCCCTCCAGACACCATACTCTTGACCTTTCTCTAGTGCAGTGTTTCTCAACTACGGTGATTTTGCCTCCTGGGGACATTTGGCGCTG